AGAAGAAGAAGAAGAAGAAGAAGAAGAAGAAGAAGAAGAAGAAGAAGAAGAAGAAGAAGAAGAAAGCAGCAGCAGCAGCAGCAGCAGCTTTTGCAAGATGTTGCTTTGCATTGAGTCAGACAGTTGTGTTAATGGTCTTTTAGCATTTAGTTTTCAAGGATTTAGGGGAGTTTCAGGAGAGTTTAGGGAAGTTCTTTGTTTAAGAAACAAAACTATGTACCACATTTTTTGTGTGTTTTCCAATCCAAGAGGAATCCTGCTGCTGATTTTTTTGCAGTGGTGGTCAGACTAGGCTCAGGGGGCCATAGAAAGAGTTTCAAGGGCCACATACTGTCCTGGGATCTCACACTGCTAATCTTGGACTTCAGCTGAATGGGAAAAGGGAGGGAGGGAGAATAAGCTGAGACTGAAAATGAAAGGGCTAAGGCCAAGTAGTGAAGTTCTAGTTCATAGGGTCTACCTTAAAGCTTTAGTTCTCAAACTAATCTAAAGCAGCCCTTGGCCTCTTGCCTCCAGCAAGAGTAATTTTTCTGTTTTGGGAGGGAGGAAAGAAGAACTTAGGGCTGAATATGACCCTGCCCATTTTCAGAATGGGCCCCTGAGACAGTATCTCCAATGATATGCAACTTAATCCATTGTTATAGTTCTCCTACCATTCTAGGAGAATCATTTCAGTATAGTTATTATCACTTTCCAAACACTGATAGACTCATTGTTCTCATTAACATTAATTAACTCCATTAATTTAATGATGGACTACTTTCAGTCCTTCCTGCCTTAGTTTCACGAGTCCCTGATGATTACAGTAAACTGATAATGACAGATTAAAGAGAAGAACTGAACTGTCAGCGTTTGCTGGAATAAGACCTTCACAGGATCCACTACTATGCCTTTTTCACAGAGTTCATTCCGCTACACTGTTATCTGGTGCCATATTGAAGAGAATACTTTTGAGGCTTCTCAGTGTATTTGTTAATAGTGTTGAACATCACTACATCTGTGAGAGGAATGTTTTGAAAACTACCAAACGCATGTACATGTGGACAATTGTATAGCCTTTGTGAAGGGGAATGCTAAGAAATGTAACTGCTATTCTTTTTGCAAAAGAAGGAAGAAATAGTGATTGTTAATTCAAGGAGCTCTGAAAGCTCTGGGTACAGCACAGTCAAACTTGTTGGCTAGTTTGACATAGAAAGACTGAGCATTGTTTGGCTAGTATTCTCTGTACTCAGTTATTGGCCAGCTCAGGCTGTTTGGGTAAATACACTAATGGTGGTCTGTGAGCTCTGAACTTGCAAGCATATAGATATCATCATGCTGAACATGTTTGAGATCTCAGATATTGAAAATGATGTGGAAACATTGCAGATAGGTTTTAAAATGCACTGGGAGTATTTAATAGATCAAAAACCCAGCAGTGTGGCAGATTTATTTTATTTTATTTATTTGTTTAATAAATTTATATGGCCATCCATCTGATGTACTTGACTCTGGGCGGCTAACAATTAAAAACAAAATAAAAACAGGATAAAACAACCAACTTTTTAAAAACAGTTGGCCATGTCAGAATTGTGCAAAGATGGTTAGCCAACCATGATTTGCAAGCCCATTTCAGACCAAGGTAATTAAGACAGTTTGGGTAGAAATGACTTACAAGCCATCCTTTGCAAGCCTGTTTTGGTGATTTCCCACAACAAACTATTTTGAGCATGAATGAGCAATCTTGGTGCGCTTCTGAACCCCTCAAAACTCTTATATAACATTGTTATTAATGTGACTGAAGAGGCAAGGTATTAAATAAATGAGTAATGATCATATTAAGGGTACTGGTAGTCCTCAGGTTACAACCGCTCGTTTAGCGACTGTTCAGAGTTACAGTGGCACTGAATGAGAGGGACTTATGATCAGTCCACAAAGTTGCAGCCATCAGTCCACAAAGCATCCCCATGGTCATGTGATCATGATTCGGGCGCTTGGCAGCCAGCTTGCAATTACAACAGTTGCAGCATCCCGCGATCGTGATTGCCATTTGCAACCTTCCTTGCTGGCTTCCCACAAGCAAAATCAATAGGTGAGCTGGCAAGAGGTCACAAGTCACTCCTGCTCCCACTGCTTTTTTGCCTGCCCACCTGCCTGTGGCATCCACCCAGCTGCCTGTGCTCTGTAGCATCTGCCCATAGTGTCCACCCGCCTGTAGTTCTCACCTGCTGGCCTGGTTGCCTGGGACTCCTGCCTCTTCCCATGTCGCAGTCACGTGAGGTCCTCACTTAACAACCCGTGCAGTCCTTGGATTGCGACAGCAACCGGGACTGCCAGGATTGCCATGGCTAAGCAGTGTGGTCATTGCACTTTACAACTGCATCACTTAGCGACAGCAATTCTGGTCCCAGTTGCTGTCGTAACCTGAGGACTACCTGTATTTCATATAATTCATATAACTCTCATTAACTTTAGATATTAAAACAAATTTTGTTTTCGTCCTACATACAGCCCATTTTCTTGTCTTGGTCCTGTTTATGTCCCTTGTTCATCATTTAAGGGCCAACTGTGTTTCTCAGACTGAAAAAAGTTTGTGTACTCTGGAATTGAACTCCTTCTAAAGTAGAGGAGTGCCTTGACTCAGCAGAGCAAGAAAGAAGGGGATGCACAAATCAAGGATAAAAGCATGATGTTGAAACCCGCACGAAAAAAAATTAACAGAGAAAACAGAAGTTGAAAGTAGATCCCCTAACAGGGATAGAGGTGTGGGGGGCTGCCTTGAAGAGCACTCAGAAGCTTCAGCTAGTCCAGAATGCAGCAGCGATGGGCGTGCCTCAGTATGCCCATGTGACACCCCAGCTTCACGGGCTGCGCTGGTTCGGGTGCGATTCACGGTGCTGGTTACGAAGCCCTCCGTGGCATAGGGCCCAGTTACTTGAGGGACCGCCTGTCTCCCATGGTGTCAGCCTGGATGGTTCAATCCAACAGAGTTGGTGCACTCCAGGTTCTGCTGATTAAGCAGTGCTATGTGTCGGGACCCTGGAAACATGCCTCCTCTGTCTCAGTGCCCACCCTCTGGAATGAGGTTCCCCCGAGATCTGTGTGGCTCCCACCCTGATGGCATACCAGAGGGTCTTAAAGCCCTGGCTCTTCTCCCAGGCAGTGGGCTGGGGTGGTAGAAGCCCCTTGAGGGTCTTTGATTTGTTGGCTAGATTCTCATTCGCCATCTTGTTACTGTTCTGTGCTTTTTGGATTATTAGTTGTTTCTATGCTGTGGACTGCCCAGAGTCGATTGGAGTCAGGTAGCACCCAAGTCAAATTAGATAATTAAACAATGGCCCTTAAGCCAAGCATCTTTATTTGAATGCAAGGGATGCTAGGACTGCCTGAGCATGGTTAAGTCGGGTTATCATATCTGGGCTGCAAAAATCTGAAAGGGCTGCTGCTATCTAGGGAACATCCAGATTCTTGCAGCCCAGACCTGGAAGCTCAAGTTTAGACAGCCTCCTGTTAGGACAGTTGCTGTATGCAGGATTCAGGAAAATGCCATAGCAAATTGATTTTCCAGCCTGGTGGCCTACCTGATTGTAAAGATGGAGTTCCAGCTGGGTCTTACCTATTCCAACTGGCAGACTTTGAATACAAGTAGTCCTTGTTCAGCGACCACAATTGGGACTGGCAACTTGGTCGTTAAGCGAAGCAGTTGCTAAGTGAAACCATGACTGTGATTATGATCTTACTTTGGCTTTACAGACCTGCAAAGATCATAAATGTGAGGATTGGTCACAAAGTTACTTTTTCATCACGGTTGTAACTGCAAACAGTTGCTCTACGAGGCAGTCACTAAACGAGGACTACCTGTAATCTCAAACTGATCTCAGCTTTGAGCTCTGCTCCCTAGTAAACTTCAGTTTGGAATGGCAAGAAATAGTCTGTTTGTTACCAGGGAGTTCTTTCCTTAAACTGCAGTCATATAAGCCATATGCTAAGAGTTTGGGCCCAGTGACCACAGTTCCTTACTGTAAATGTTGTAGCACCTCTGTAAACCTGGTTTATTTTTGTTCCATTTTACAGATGAGAAAACCAAAGCTGAAGACAGAATGTAGGGCTAAGACTGTTTCTCTTTAAAGCAACTACAACAAAGGCCCAAGGCGTTTGGAAGAGCTTTTAACACCTCTCATTGCTAGTAGCTTGTATATTCCAGTCCATTGGCTTCATGTTGAGAATTGTAGGACCTGTATAAAAATACTAGATCAGAAGACAAAAGTATGCGTGGGAGAGGCGTGAGCATTGATATGCGTGCATTTGCATCGCTTTGCTCAGATGATTTGCCAGGTTCTGCCTTACATGCAAAGAGTCTCAGATTCAACCCTGAGTATCCTGGAAGCTGCAAAAACCCCTTCTCTTGAAATCCGGCCAAGGTGCTGTCATGCAACAATGCTCAGTTGGATGATTCAATCGTGTGACTCAAATATAAAGTGATTTTTGTATGTTGGGTATGTTAACATGATTGATGTATGATTATGACTCACTCTTTTTTCCCCTTCTTTCTTATTGTGTCTTTTTAGATTTGGTAAGCGATGCTTTATTTTGGCAAACTGTAATCCCTGTTCCAGAGGGGGGTGAAAAGGCCGCAGAAGGACTTTGAACTGATCCCCTGCTTGTCTTCCTTGGAAAGTTGACTTCGGAATAGTAGGACCAACTATTTCTTACTGCTAGCTTAACAAAAAAAATTAAAGGGAGGGGGGAAAGCTGATAAATTACTTCCCCGAAGTGTTTGAGTCACTGACTTCTCCCAAACTTTGGGTGATTATCAAGATATACCCAAGTTTAAACTTGAGCCTGACCAAGATGGTGTTGGGTTCTTTGTGGTGCAATGTATTGTGGGAATCCGGCACGCTGTGTGAACCAGGCCTTGATGCTAAACCATAACATGGTTTATTTGCTTGGGCAACTATGAACCTGGCAATTGTGTTTTGTTAACCTGGGTTTTATTTGTATGAACCTAGCCAAGAAATGTGTGTATGAGGATGTGTGTATTAATATTCAGAGAATAATGTCAAAGATACACATACATACATTTGTTTCTAACAGTCAAATGCTCAGGGGACTGACTAGGTCAAAACCTGGGTTTTACTTCAGTGTGACGGATCTGTTGCTAGCCCAGATGCTGTTGAAACACAGGTTCCACCATGCCTTATGCTGGCTTGGCTATTTGGAGTTGGGGTCTTTCAAACTCTGGGGGGCTACTAATTCCACCCTGTGCTTTTTTGGAGAGGCTGAAAGGGGTGTGTACATCTAGTGTCACAGTGAAATCAACAGGAGTAGAACTATTTTTTTGCTTTGTAATTTTACTTTTCTTTCTTACAGGCTTTGGGGAAGGCCTAGAGCAGTGTTTCTCAACCTCAGCAACTTTCAGATGTGTGGACTTCAACTCCCAGAATTCCCCAGCCAAGCATGCTGGCTAAG